GTTCAGACGTGTGCTCTTCCGATCTCCCCAAAACCCCAAAACCCCTTGCATGAAAATAATATAGATCATAGATGAAGAAAAATCTTAAATAATTTACTCATAAATAAGTTATTTTTTAGGGGTTTATAATCCAGAGAATTTATTTGATGGTGATCCTCTCTGGACTTACTTATATTACTCTATCTTTATATACACTAGCTCAATCATTTGAGCAGATTAAAAATTGAAAACTCATTATTAGTTTTGATAATATTTTGTCATCTCTCACTCACAAGAGTCATATTCTGAACTATGGGAGTAGGGAGACATTTGCTACGATTGCTATTAGTTTTGATATTAGAAAGTCTATTAAGGGTTCTTTTGATGGAGAGAAGTAGGATTTTTTCTACTATAATGAATAATCTCCCATTTCCAATCTCCATCAGGAGCCCTAATTGATGAATCACTATAAGACTCTTCTTTGGATTGGTGTGAATCCTTAGGAGATTATTTAGAGCCAGCTGATAATTCCTCCTTGATTCCTTAATTATGGTAAATATCTTAGAGAAGTCTTGAATTGTTACTCGCTGTCAAAAATTGACCTCCATTTATAAGTTTAGCACTGATAGTCCTTGGATTAAATGTGTCTTCTGATATGTTTGGGAGTTTTTTAGGAGTAGTCTTAATATTCATGGATTCTAAGAACGATGAGATTTTGTACTTTTATTCCATTGTGGACTTAATGGACGGTTGGATTAATGGTGAATTCTCCTTAATGCTGCTGTTGAAAGAGACGGTTCTTTGTTTTTTATCGGGAGTTAAGAGGCAACAGTCCCAGTTTTTTTGGCTAAAGATAGGGGAAAGTGATTATTTCTCCTGAAATTCTTTTTGTTGCATCAATTCCTCAAGAGAAGATGAGGTATCACAATCACTTTTATTGTCAGTCATATCATCAGACATTGGAATATTGTATGTTTTGAGCTTTTCTGAATTGACTTGATAAGTATATGAATCAATATCTCTGATAAACTGAGAGATAGGAGTGAATTAGTGTTGGTCAGTAAGCATATTATCTTTCTAGAGAGATTTCTAGTACAGTGTCAAAAGTATTATATATATTAAATTATAACTATTGGTAAAATCATTATTATCACTGTCGCAATTTACCATTTCAGTTTAATTCTACCAACCTATAAACTTTTATAATAGTTTTATCAGAATATTATCAATTATTCAATTAATTCATTTTTATTGACAGAGTTTTATGTATCAATCAAAAGAATACTAACTTCACGGGGTTTTGGGGTTTTGGGGTTTTGGGG